CACGCAGCAGTACAGCCTTCACGGGTGCCAAAGCCAGAAGTGCGATGAAGTAATGAAGTGTGTGTGCCTTGGTGTCCTTCATCTAAGAGCAGATGTGGAGAAGAGATTGCGCATGGCACATGATTTCTGTTAACCTCTGATCAATGTTTAAAAGTTTTAAGTGCAACTCTACGGCAACTTGCTAAGCAAGCTGACTTCGTACTTGCTCCTGTCAAGTTTCACTTCCCATCTAGATGAGATCTGTATAAGGGTTAGAGTTTCCATTCAAGGAAGCAGCAGAATCCTGCTGCAAATTGAGTGAGTCAGATGTTTCCACTAAACAGACATTTGCAGAAACGCAAGTCCTTGCGATGGATTATTAAGGGAAATGGGCAGTGTTGTAAGAATGACCCTAACCGTGACCCTCCTCACATGTCTTGCTCCTGCATGACGCGCGAAAAAAGGGGCAGCCGGGACAGACCAGTTTCAGGCTTGGAATGCCAGGAAAGGGGAAATGGAAAAGCGGTGCCGGAAAGAAGCGCACACAATGCCATCCTGCGGCAGCGCAGATCGGTCGCTGTCTGAGGCAAGGGGATGAGGGACGGGGCCCTTGCGCCTCCGTCAAGCAGCTCTTAGCTGTGGAGTGAGTGAGTGGCTCTGCCCACATGTCACAACAGCCCCTCAAAGCGTCGTCCGACCACAGGCCATGGCATACGGCCCAGGCAGCCTGAGATGTTGAGGATTAGAGAACTCGCAGGTCACCCTCAAACCAGCAACGGGCGAACTGAGGGTACTCTGGCTCTCGGGTGAATACGTACTTGCCAGCTGCCAGCTGCTTGCCAATACAAACCACGGAAAGCTGGGACACACGCAGAATGCCTGCAGGTGCCCAGCACCATGGGTAAATTGAGCGACCGTGGGGGCCAGGCCACTGCCTGCATTCGGCCACAACGATCGACCACGAGTGATCCCTGCTTTACAAGAACCAGCCATGGGCTCACGTGCTCCTCCACCTAAAGAAACTAATACACCACGGGAACATTTGAATGCAGCAGTTTTATGAAATGCTGGTTCAGTTCACAGACCTCCATCTTTTAAACAGGGTTTTTTGAAATCCACCTGTCAAGTGTGGCGCCTAGCACAACTAAAATCAGAAAATGAGAAAAGACACAGAGCTAGAATATGGCTAGAAAAAAGTGCCACTGGCAAGGAGCCCCATCTGTGAATGAGCCTGCACAAAACGGACACTACAGGGGTCACACACACACATCTTTATTCCTAACTTGACAGAAATGCAAAGTAGACCAGCAAAAGCAGAAAAACCACAAGGCCTCCGAATACTTGAACACCCTTGCTCAAGTTTGGTTACTGCAGCTAATTAGTGCCTTTAATATCCCGCTTGAGCAGTTTTTCTTGTGGCCTCTCATTTCCTGACAATTTCTATACACTCAGCATTCCAAACTTTAAGTTAGCAACAAGCAACTATGACAGTTTCTTGAGAAGCAAAGGAAGAGGATTTCTCAAATGAACTGTCCGCGCATACACTTGGTGGCTTGCCAAGCAAGGCCTGCTGAGGTGCCATCGTTCACTGAAATCCAGGGGGGTCCTGATTCTGGGCTACTGTGCAGGGACACCCTCTCCTGAGCACTGGGCCCCTCGGTATGTCTCTCCAGTGGGCTCTCTGAGAGCTTCTGGAAGATGGTAGGAGGCTTCCTGTGGGAGAAGGGATGAAAGCCACCTTGAGGTCCTTGAAAAAAAGGTGGGATATAAATGTAACAAATAAACAAGGTTCCGAGTTCAAGATCAGCTCTAGGAATGTCTCTGTTTGAAAAATACTGCCAGTCAGACACTACTAAACTGGAGCAACTCAGCATAAAGAGGCTTCCTGTGAGGGCTTCTGACTGCATATGCTTGCTGATAATGTGGTTTTAAACCCCTACCCGGCTGCATTTAGATGTCTGCAGATATCTGTTGCTGTACATAGTTATAGTTACTGTTTTAACTGTCCGGCAAGCAGAATACAACAATATTAAATGGGCTACTGGTTTAACAAGACTGCACTTTAGAAACTGTTGGCATGTTTTGATTCAGATGAAAATGGTGTGTATTTAAATTATTTAACCAAACCTGGAACAACAACTACGAAAAGGTTACACCTGTGAAAAAGTTTCTGCCTAGTGTAGTAAAACTGTCGGTTTCATCCAGCACAGCCTTCACACTGAATTCAAGGCAGTGACACATGACCACATATGCAGTCCTCTCAAGCAGAGTTTAGCTGTGGCAGGCCTAGCCTAACAGCTGTGACCTAGAAGAGAAGCTACCCATCTTGCATGCAGAAATCCTTAGCAGTCATTTGTTTTCCATAGGCAAAAATTAATACTCTGGGTTGAAAGTGACATAGTGCAAGTCACAACCGAACCACGCAGGCTGCTCAGAAGTTCAACAAGGGAGTTCCTACTCTTTTTATCACATATGGTAATCTGTCACCTCGAGTCATGGAAATACTCTCCCATTTATGACAGCAGTTATCAGGGCTCTGGCACTTCCGCCTCAAAATACCAAAGGTGGCACACCAATATTTAACAATACAAGCTCTATTAAAACCTTGCATTTTGAGCATTGCTTCAAGAATCAAAGACCACTGCAGCCGCCCCCGCGCTTTCTTCCTCAAAGAGTTCGGAAGTGGTGCTCCCACTGCAACTGCCTGTGTCAGAATCGCCTGCCTTGTCACAACAGCAGGGGACATGCCATGGTGCCTTCCCTTGAGACCAAGCTAAATGACCTGGAGAAAGGCAGGATGGGCCTTCAGAGATAAGACAGCAATGCACCATTCCCAGGGCAACAACTCCTCTGCTGCCACAAAGTACAAGGTCTCAGAAAAGGAGCGTGTCACTCAAAAAAGGGGGGACGATCCCTCAGAAGGACCCCACTACTTGGGGAATTGGAAAGTGGCCAAAAAAGTGACCCAGTCATTTAAAAAGTGAGCCAGGTGAAGCTAAGAGTTATAGACTGGTTAGCTTAAGGTCTGTTCCAAGTAAATTGGTGGAAATCGCTCTTAAAGTTACCCCTGAAGGGGCTGAGCTAGCAGCTTTTAGCCAGAAAGAGAGTGGGGTCCTGGTGGGGCCCTGATGAAGACGTTGGCCCTGTGTGTGGGTGCAGTGAAAGAGGCACATTCCATCAGGAAAGGTTCTGAAAGTAAGATTGTGAATACAGTAACGGTGTTACCGCTCCTAGAACACCACGTACATTTCTGTGAACTACATCTCAGCAAAATATTGTAAAGAACGAGCGGGGGGGTTTGAAGCAACTCCTTTACGAAGAGTCACAATGCATGGGCTCTCGTTATTTTTCTGGCGAAAAAAAGATGCATTAAAGGAGTATGGGAGGGGCTTATAAAATGATGCATGGTGTAGAGAACTACTGGAACCAGATAAAGCTAAATGGTGCAGGAGTCAAGACAAAGGAGGGAGGCAGGCGGGCAAACACTGTGGAGCTTGCCTGCACAAGATGAGGCATTAGCCACCAATTTAAATGGGTTTCAAAGAGGGATTAAATAGATGCATGGGGGTTAAGACTGCCAAGGGCTACATGGTACCTCCAGGGTCAAAGGCACCAGGTCTCTGTGCCAGTCCCTGAGAAATAACCAGAGAGAGTCACTGCCCTCATGAAGGGCATGTTGGCTTTCCACAGGCATCTGGCTGGCCACTACAGGAAAAAGGATGCTGGGCTGAACAGACCTTTGGCCTGTCAAATCTTCTTGCAGTCCTAGTATCCATTCCCATATACGTTGCGCTAGGCCTAGCCTCTATTGTAAAACCTGGTAGCTTTACAGTGGACCTTTCCCATTGGGCAAGCCCATAAAACTTGAGATCTGCCATGCCAAATGTGACCCAGCAGCCTTGTACAGAGATTATCAGGGGCTCAGCCAGCCACCTGATTTTGCGGCTGACCTGGGATCCCACAGAAAAGCATTATGCACCTAGCAATATACATCCAGGGCTGCAAATGTATACATGGCTTACCAAATAGCAAACAAGCCTTAAAATAATGTATAATGAATTCTAACCCAGATTAAGCTCAACCACATGAGCATTACAAGCTCAGGGAATTACCACCACAGAACAGCCAAATGCTACAACAGAGGAAATGGGTGGGAGGGGTGACATTTGGGACCTGGACTTGGGTCGGTGAACAGCCAGCAAGAGGAGCAGCAACAGAGTGACCAGTCCCAGGGGTGTGACCAGTCCAGAAACTCACTCTGAGAAGCAACGAACCCTTTCCCCCTCTCCTACCCTCTTTGGCTACCATGGCACAAATAATGCGAATTTTCTACCGAGCCAAAGAGGGAAGCCACCGGAAAACAAGCCGGGCGCTCACAGGCGAGCCTCGGGAGCTCTTTACCCAGCCTTTCCTCCGACCAGTTCTGCCCCTTCCCTCTGAACAAGCCGGGACCCCTCCTTGGATCGCAGGCGGGCGAGAGCATCCCCCGCTGCTCCTCAACTTTCGTAGAGCATCAAGGCCCGTTAGGCAAACGGCCAACGTCTGGAGCAGGTGCCTGCCCGGCAGGGAGGACCAGGCCGCCCGCGGCCAGCACTGGCGCGGGGCGTCCTTCCCCGGAGCGCCCGAGGAGCTCGAGGCCACAATCGGCAGCCAAGCCGTGCTCAGGGCGACGGCCGCGGGGAGGGCCTGAGAGGCGAGGCCAGGTCGGGCGAGCCCAGGCACCTTTCCGAAGCGGGGCTCCGGCATCTCCCGGGGCAGCCGAGCCTCCAGCGGCCCGGTCCCGCCCCGCCCCGCCCGCAGGGGCCACGGAGCGCCTCGCCAAGCCCGCCTGCCCCCGGCTCACGGCCCGCCTC